CATTCCTGGTCGGCACCTGGTATCGACCTCCAAACTCTCCGCCTGGACGTTTTAATGAGTTTGATAATGTAATTGACAAAACTGACGCTGAAAATAAGGAATTATTTCTACTTGGTAATGTTAACTGCAATCTGTTGCCAGAGGCTTCAGCTCATAATTCCTCATATTTAACAAACATTTTTGACATCTATTGTCTTAGTCAGTTAATCGCTGAAGCAATACTCGTGACTCCCGTCTCTAAGACACTCATTGATTTATGTATCACCAACTCCCCAGAGAAAGTTACAAATTCAGGTGTCATTCACCTTGGGATCAGTGATCATTCTCTTGTGTTTATGACGCGTAAAGTCCATCATGAGCGTCATTGCCCAAGAACGATCGAAACGCGACAATTTAAACACTTTCAAAAATCCAAATTCTTGAGTGAACTTGAACAAATGCCATGATCGAATGTTGATTTGCGTTCTGATCCGAATGACATGTGGCAAGAATGGAAACAAATGTTTGTCAGCTGCATAGACAAACACGCATCACGCAAACTAAAAAGAATTAGTAAAAAGCGGGCTCCGTGGATTATTAGGGTTATCACATAAAATCCATAGAAGAGATTTAATTAAAAAGAAAACAATTTCTTCAAACAACCATGATAAGTAGGAGCAATTTAAATGCGCTAGAAACCAAGCAAATGATGCAATTAAATACGCGAAGAAACGCTACTTTTCTCTTAACTTGGAAGCTAGTAAAGGAAACCCGCGCAAAAGATGGAATCTCATCAATGAGTGAAGCTCACATAACACTATTAAGTCGTCCAATATTTTAGAAATTCAAACAATCAGGTTATAATTTCAGGCAAAATATTCCTCAAGAGAGGGTGGCTCAATGTCAAAGAATGTAGCAGTGGTGTTTCCATACATACATGTCAATGCATTTCGTAATAATGCACTAACCACATAGTGTTTGCCAACCGCGCTTGACCGATTTTAAGATTTTTCTTGAAATCAAGGAATTTAAATGATGCCACAATATCGCCAAAAATCCACTCCACAGATGTTTGCACTGAGCTCATGCACTTATTGAATTGTTCCATGGGAGCAGTGAGTGGAGCTTCTCTAAATTGTTGCTGTAGGTGGAGCCGCAGTGGATATGCGAGGTCTTTTTTTTCAGGTCTGATTTTCACTATTGCTCAAATAGTGCTTTACTGCGAAGGATCGTGCTCATATACGTCTCATAACCGCAGTTCACACATATGTTTCATATGTTTGTTGTTGTTTGATTTATCATCTACGGGTTTATGTCGAATTAATTTGATGGCCTGCTCCCAGTTGGCTTGTTAGCTCAATTGGTAGAGCGCTGCACTAGTATCGCAGAGGTCAGTGGTTCGAATCCCGTACAGGCCTGAAATTTTTTTTTTTTTCAGGTCTGATTTTCACTATTGCTCAAATAGTGCTTTACTGCGAAGGATCGTGCTCATATACGTCTCATAACCGCAGTTCACACATATGTTGCATATGTTTGTTGTTGTTTGATTTATCATCTACGGGTTTATGTCGAATTAATTTGATGGCCTGCTCCCAGTTGGCTTGTTAGCTCAATTGGTAGAGCGCTGCACTAGTATCGCAGAGGTCAGTGGTTCGAATCCCGTACAGGCCTGAAATTTTTTTCAGGTCTGATTTTCACTATTGCTCAAATAGTGCTTTACTGCGAAGGATCGTGCTCATATACGTCTCATAACCGCAGTTCACACATATGTTGCATATGTTTGTTGTTGTTCAATCAATCTATCTTCTCCATCAATCACAGACTTAACACATAAATAAAATTTGGATCCCTGTTAAAGGGATACTTAATTACTGGCTGCTAGAAAGAGAAAGAAAGTAGAAAGTCTTTAAACACTCTAAACAACAAACGTGTCTAGTTACAATGATAAGGCTGAGATAGGACGTCAGCATTATTAGGCGCCTCTGGCGCCATCTTGCTAGTAAAAGTTAATTACACTAGCGTAACTCAAGCGTGCATAAGACTCCTAGTATTTACTGTATGTAATAGCCAGCAAGATGGCAAGCACTATTGGCAGTTTGGCATGCAGTCTTGTAGCAGTACGATAAAAGTGATGACAATTTTTCACGTACCTGCGGGTCCGTACAGGTGAGCGACGAGTCCATTTGGCAATGACACTGACTGGAATTTTAAAGCATGTACACGCTTGTGGCCATTGTAAACTATTTTTTGGTCTTTGCCTGGCCTACAAATAGGTCGCACTGTGCCGTCGACAAATCCAAGGCAGTTGGGCAGCGCTCTCCCTTTGTCAGCTATGGCATCAGCGTACACTCCCAGTTTGTCTCTGCTGAGAAGTTGGTCATTCCACTCAGTGATCTTGGCGTGATGATGGTCGGAAATCCACTGCTCAAAACGTGTCGTAATCATACTTATCTCTGACACTGCCTGTCTAAATCTGTGGATCATGTCACCCAAACGACATGGGTATGCAAACCTTTTTAGCAACATGCACAGTCCCTCTATGCGGTTGGCCTTAGTTGTTTGGTGGCAGCACAGACTCGCAGGCAATCCAAGGGCATCAGCAAGTCTAACAATGTCCCTCTTTCTTACTCGAAACTCATGAAAGCACTCTGCTTCGTCCATAGAATCCAGATCAAAACGATCGTAGTCGGCGTGAGGAAATGAGGGATTTTTGGAGAAACAAGCGTCATACAATAAAAAAAGTTGTTCTTCGGAAATAAAATGATGACTCCATGCTAGAGAAAGTATTTCTCGAGCTTCCTTTAAACTGGACATCGTCAAGATCGAGAGCACGCAAAGGATGTGTTTACATTTTCACGGTCGACCGACAACGTCTGTAAATTAGCGTAACTGTTTTGCTTAACACAATCATGTCACGAACTCCGGTGGCGACAACGTCGTTACCAGGTTCCCCCTCCTACAAACGATCGAACGTCCGTGACACTCAAAGTCTTCGATGCTTAAGGACCCTAATGCTCACACGTGGACGGACGGACTACATTGTGAGCGCCAAAATAAAAAAAAAAAAATCTGTAATAGTAAACTTGTACTTTTATACGTCCGATCTTCATGGAGATAAACATTTTAGAAGGCCAGTTGAAATGCAAATGACCCAAAGAACACTTCAATCCCATAAAAGTGCTTTACGATTTTGATATGAAGACGGTCTGGTAAGATTTCAAATACTTTGAGTTTACCGCACTTGGATTCCCTAAGTGATGCGACTTACGACTTAGAAATATAATTAGGCTTTTCGCTTTCAGCTGACAGTAGATTTACCCGTCCGTTAAATAAAGCCTTTTGTCGAAAAATTTTCCTTGCTTTTTTCGTTTCTTGTTTTTTTAACAGTAGTTTCCGGGTTGCTAACGAATTTTTAGTAAATTTGCATATTGACTTTGCAATTCGATCCGCAAGCGTTTTTGCCACGTGCATAAATTATGTATTTCTTTGTATTCTTTTAATTTCAATTTTGGATTCTAACAAACCTGCTTTGATACACATCGTTCAATCCAGTCATATTTTTTTTTTCTGTTGAAATTAATTTTTCCCTTTTCCCTGGTTTTACTTCAGCTTAATTGGAAGTAGAGAATAAATAAATATTTACTGCGTGTTCTCTTTGTTTTCCCGTTTTCAAGAAGTTCTGATCTACGCAAAAGTGCAAGAATAACTCAGTTCACAACAAGAACTCATCCAATTTCAATGAGGGCGCTGTCCATTAGAGTCTAATTTCGTCGATGACAAAAGCGAGGAAAAAAACATCGTGATCTCCGCTTTGCTAAACCCACACGATACAAAATTTTGCTCTTGATACAAAATCAGCTCTTGATGAGACTTTAAAGTTGTTCCTTTAAATTTTGCCATAAAACTGAAAAATCAAACAGGAAAGGATACGTTTTAGTTCCTTGAATCGAGGGTTCCTTCCTTCAAGTATGACGTTCTTGCCTAGTCAACCTTAGGAGCAGCTGGCGTTCTTCATTCAGTTTCAATTTGGGCCCCAACGTGTTCCACTTCGTTTTTTCCGTTCAATTTTGAGGTTCTCGCCCCTCTTTTTTTAACTTAGTTGGCGTTTTCTCCTTTTGATAATCGTTCTTTTCAATTGAAAGTTGGATTGAGAGTTGTCTGTTTGGAAATAATTAGCCTTAGACTTTTTTTAGATTCCATCAACACTTTGTCGATGACAGCGATTATCCAAAGTCCCAACCAGTTAACTAAATTGAAATTAATCAATCTTTGTTTATTTTGACATGATGAATTTTAAGTTCAAATCAGACTATCATTATCATCATCATCATCATTTTCATAATGATGACTAAAAGAGTTTGGTTAGATTTGTGAAGAAGATGAACTCATTCATATCGTTGCATTGCAAATCCTTAAAAGACTTCTACTAAGTATGGCGGATGAACTTAACTTCTTTTCTCTAAACATAACCTATGAGGAGGCAAACATAAAAGCAAACTTGCTTTAAAGTAAAGAGAAGTGGGCAAAACTGACCTACCAGGCTACGTAAAACTGCCTTTCAAAACTGCTAAATTCAAGTTTCAAGCATGGATGTTTTATGAAAATGCGCCAAATTTCGATCATTTCTATTCATTTCAGTGATGAAAAATTGTATTAATTTCTTGCGGTTGCATTCATGATTAAAAACAAAACAGTTAGGTATCTTAGAAGAAAACTGTTTACTTCCTACATTAGTTGCAGTAAAGGGGAACATTAAAGGCGTGGGCTGTTTTCATTCCTTCCTTTAGGCCTTCCGCAGGACGTTTCTGAGAAAAAGATCCTTGAACTCCGAGGTTAGAAGCTATTTGAAATTTAAACCTTGGGTTCGCCTTACGAAAATAGGTGCTTAGCTATGAACTAAAAAATATTCTTCCATAATCGGGGTGTATAAATTTAGTTGGCTGCAACACTTCTAACATCATAACTCAGCAGTCTCACTTCTTTCAGAAGTTCAAATTTAAGGGGAATTTAACATTCGCACAATGTCTCGCATTCTCCCTTATTCTCTCCGAATCTTTTTGCTCATCGCGTTGGAATCCAGGAGTCAGACTTTGGCCCATCCCATCCCATTGTTTAAAGGTTAGTGCCAGTTTATTCTTTTTCCATGCTCAGAATATCTTTTTTCTTAGAACTGCATTAACTGAAGGTTAATAGGTACGGAGTAAATTCTCGTGTTGCGTCCAGCTGACTATATTTTTTTGTGGAACCATAGTAATAAGGAATTTATTAAGTATGAACTCCGCTTGCTTTTCTTTCCTTTCTTTATTATTTTTCTCGCTTTTTTGTATTTCGTCTTCTATTAACTATTGTCTTCGTTATTTTTTCGAATTATTCCATTTTTGTTTCTTTAAGTTTGACATCTGGTCTTTTCTTACACTCAACTTTGACTCGGTCTTTTTTTGCTTTTTTTTTCTTTTAACTTATCACATACATCTTCTGTTCATAGCTAGTTGTGTTGAGTTGTACAAGGCTGGCACTACATCCAGCGGTGTCTATTCGATTGATCCTGATGGTTTAGGTGCCTTTGATGTGTACTGTGATCAGAGCACAGCTGGAGGAGGATGGACGGTGATCCAGAGGAGACTGCACGGCTCTGTGGATTTTAATCGTAGCTGGTGCGACTACAAGCATGGCTTTGGTAGCATGAGGGGTGAGTATTGGTTGGGACTGGACAAGATAAACCGCCTCACTTGGAGAATAAAGAACAAGCTCCGAGTAGATCTGGAATTCAGAGTCAATTAGAAAGTTTATCATCCCTACGCTGAGTACGACTTGTTCGTAGTTGAATCGGAATTGAAAAATTACTCCTTGACCATTGGAGAAATGTCCACAGGTAAGTTATATGTAACGTCATAATCCCTATGATTGATATAAAGTGAGGTAACGAGATAATTCATCGGCTAAAAGTTTTACATCGAAAGTTACCCTTACCGAATTTTTATCCGTTATGCAAACGCCATAAAAGTAAGGCAATATTTTAAGTTTATCTGTTAGAACATAATTATTATGATTTATGGAATTAATGTCTAAAGCAACAAATTAACGAATCGATAGACTTTTAGGCGGGGAAAGATCAATTGATTGTAAGCGATGTGACAGTCGAATTGATGATTTAAGTGAAGTTGATGCGATATTGTTAAGTTCTATTTGGCAGAAGCAGGCACTAGAAGAAGGCACTTTTGTGACCCAAAGCTTTAATTGCTCATACGTAGTATATTGGAAAGTAAAGCCCTTAATCGATGCGCAATTCGCAACTTGCCTTTAGATGGACAATCAATAAATTGATTGGATGTCCACTTACCAGAAGTCTTCCTTACGCGCTTGTGTGCCTTATTAATACTTTTTTATGGAAAAGGCGCCACATAATTTGTTATTATCATATTATCATAAAACAATTACCTTGATCATATTTTTTTTCTTCTCTCTCTCAAAAGGTGATGCCAATAATTCTTTTGATAGCAATCGCCACGCTGAATTTTCAACAACAGATAAAGACAACAGAAATTGTACTAAGACATTTGGCGCTTGGTGGTTTCCTAAAAATTCAAGTACCTGTGGTAACTCAAACCTCAATGGTAATTACCACGATGACCAAATGAATGATATAAGATGGGATAGCTGGGGTGAAGTCCCTAAAGCATCAATCACCAAAGCTGAAATGAAGATCAAGCCGCATTGTCCAGGAAAATGATTTACATGTATTTGAAATGAATGGGATCGTATTGAAAAGTTTACAATAAAATATAATTGTTGAGTACTAGTTGATTCTTGTGTAACTCGTTGGCGGGCGAAGATTGTCGAACAAAAAAAGTGTGCAATGTATAAAAGTTTTGAAAAGGAAATTTTCCATCAATAGTTGGTGTGATACCCCTCAAGGTTTTAATAAATGTAGATGTAGATATAACTTGGTAGTTCGTTCCACTTACAGGGTTTACAAAAGCAATAGCTTATAAAGCTAAAAAATAGAAAAATGAAATGAAAGAAAATAAACACTTATCGAACGTAGGTACAAGCGGTAGATGGTGGAGCTGTTACTCACACAAACAAAAATGTTTTCCTCGCGCAAGAAAGACACCATCTGTTAGTCAAGAGGTCAGTGAAATAGTTTAGCCATCCCACTTTTGCATCGGTTAACTGTATAATAGAGAAGCAGCTTAAATCTAACAACGCTATGCTGTGCAAAACAGCTGCATCACGGAACTTGCGTGGGACCAAAACTTCGTACTAACCGAGCGCGTGGGCCGTACTGGGGATTATTGGCCAGAGGTCGAGGCAGTACTGACCAAGCGCTGCGAATTCCGTATAGAAACGACCACCGAAAGCATATGGCACTTAAAACTTTCATCAATTAAGTGGAATTGAAAATTTTATTAACTTTAAAAGGATTTACAAATCATTAAAACAAGGAACACATTATTGAGTTTAACAAAAATAGCAACACCTTTTAATATAAATCTATCAGAGCAAATTTTACAGGCATTGAAGCATACACTTTAGATACTTTTCAGCAAAGAGTTTTGTATCTAGATTTACCTTTTATAAGTTTCCTTATGTGCAAAATCAGAAGATTTGGATCTCGATTCATTTTTGGGGAAATCAGTATTCTATATGCACCTCTGTTTCACGTAACAAAACGAATAAGAACTCTCCTAAATAATATGGTTCGTACATTCTACAAAACCAAATATTCTATGATTATAAGATTTTGTGTAAGATTCTACTGACACTAAGTGCTGTCGCCTGATGATTTTAGGAATTAACTGTTATAGTGTAGCAAGCTGAATGCGACACGTTAAAGTTAATTTCAGATAGTAGGACGCAATTTCCTGCGTTGTGAACTAAAATAGTAACTGCTCGAGCTCTGAAAACACTCTCAAGCATTCTTTGCTTCTATTTCACTTCAAATCTGCCACTGATTTCATCTTCTGTGATGTTAACTTATGTCCTCTGAAATTGATGGATCAAAGAGAAGAAGAAATGTCAACTTAGATGTGCATGAGGAAAAAATATACGATAATGGTAATGACGGCAGATATTAAAGATCTAAGTAGCAAGGCGGTAGAAGAAGGCAAGAAGGTATTGTACCGCTATATTGTGATCCCAAACTTTATTGAACTATAGAAAACAAACTGTTCAACGATACATAAGAACCGAACAGAACACGACACTGAACTAACTATATCAGTCTCGTCCCAGACTACTGTGGAAAATTATTACAGTATCAAAAAGTCACGAGGGACAGCTAACTAAGCAAGAAGTGAAACACCGTTTGAACCATGCATATTAGTCTTACCAACATTTTATTTCAGTGCTATTTCTACTTTTTTCATCTTCCTTTTGAAATGAATCTCGATATAAATGTAATCTGCTTCGCCATTTAAAAAATGGAGGGTGTTTTCAATTCTATCGCTGTAAGGTTAATCTCACATGACTCTTCTCAAATCAATGAAAGTTACTCATTTGAATACCTAGAGATTTATTTTTATAACCTTTTTTAATCGAATTAATTTACTATTTAACGGATAAAACCGGAAAGAATGGAAGAAGAAGCTGATGATTTGCCTAAATTCGATTTCACTCACCTTTACTTCTCGTAAGAAGTATTCCAGCCGATCTACGATGTCAGCAAACGAAGGTCTCATCAAAGGATTCTCAACAGAAGTATGCAATTCTCAACAGCTGTCGGTCATTCAGCTTACAGAGCACATTCGCATATTCGTTACTTTCGTCGTCCTTACACTTCAAAATACTTTCAAGGCTACCTCCGTGGACCAATTCGGTGATGACAAGAATTGTTTCTGAGGAAACAGTTATCAAGAACGAATTTGCTACTCCAAATCTATGGGAACTTAAACACCCCAACTTCAAAGGAAGGGGAGCAATTCTTGTGGTAATAAGAGTGGGAGTTGCGTTGAAGTTTTCAACAAAAATAAAGTTTTTGCTCTCGTTCACCTACGTATTCCATAAAGGAAAAGTGCCATCCATGACCCTTTTGTAGGCCCTTGGCCTATACGTGCTTGACAATTGAAGCGTTTTCTAAGAACTAAGCGGCTGAACTCTTAGGAGCTGGGAAAAGTCGCCATTTGTAAACATACTGTAGGTTAGGAATGACGTGACATGTTTCCAAAGGCGCTTTACACCTGTATTTCTACTAAATGCAATTGTATACCAAAATCTTAAAATTTGTAAAATCAGCCAGCTTTCAAAAGTAGCGGTTAGATGCGTGAGGAAAGAAAACAATAGTACAAAACAATAACTTGCGAGGTATTTGTTTCTCAACTCCGCCCTGACAAGTTAATGAGCTAGCGAAATTTTCCCTGAGGAGGAAAGGGCGCAAAATTTCAAGCAAGGTAGCGAGCATCCTCGGAGACCCAAGGGCTGAGTCGATTTCAAGTTACGGCGGAAGAGCCCCTGAGGACATTGTCTTACAAGACTAGTTCCAAGCGGTCGCAGTCGTTCTGCCATCTGATTGGTGCCAGTAAAGTCTTTCTGTTGTTCTGCCCAATAAGAATGAAGTATGCTTTAGAGTCCTTTCGCGTGTTTTAACACGGACGTATCCAAGAAGGTCAGTTGCTCGCCATGTTTGATTGGGCCGTGCGACGGAGCTTTGCTCGAGGTGAAAGGTTTCAGTCTCAGCACACAATGTAAGAGAAATCGATCAGATTGTCCGCAAAAATCTTACTGGAAATTATACTGAATACTTTCGCAGGTATCACAAGAGAACGTGTTTAAAAGTTTGCGAGGTTCGTATAAAACATAATGGTTGCAGGCGTTAATATGTCCCGTTAAACGATAGACGAGATGTAGGCTGAAATCTTTCTAGATTTTTTGTATAATTACTGGTACTGAAACTTTGCCAATCCCGTGAAGTTGTTTCGGCGCACGGGCCACGCAGGTATGTCGAGCAACTGGCGCTTACATCTTTCTGTGCGCGCCAAAATCTAATCTCCGTCGGCTAGTTGTTTAGATAAGGTTCAGTGTGTTTTTTTACGACAATGAATAATCCGGGTGAAAATGTTTCAGATCGTTGTCGAGTATGCTGTTCTGTTTTTATCACCATTAATAGAAAAAGAAATCTTATTGGCGAGTTCATGAAATATTTGAAGAAGTTTTCAATCAAAAGGTTTTACCAGACGATGGTCTTCCGCATGCAGTTTGGGACACTTGTCGCTTTAGAATTGAAACATCCTGGAAACGTAATTGTAACAAAGAGGCATCGATAAAAATTTCTCGTGGGCAGAGTACCTATAATAAAATCGAATTGTTGCTGTTTCCCAGTTTCTACTAGAGGAACATTTGTCAAGGTATGCACAAATGTAATACAACCTATGTTGAAAAAAAAAACAAAGAAAAGCTAAGCTTGGAAACTTTTGTTTATTAGATGTGGGTAGATGTCCCTGTACTAATGAATAAAGGCTGATAGTTTCGAAAGAAACTGTTTGGGGCTGCGTCGGTGGGGGTAACGAAATAATTTGGATAGATCAACAAAGTTGAAATTGGCCACCGTAACGATTACAAAAGCTGACGTTTCGAGCGTTAGCCCTTCGTCGGAGCGCTTCGCTCCGACGAAGGGCTAACGCTCGAAACGTCAAACCCTGTACTAAGCTGACAATTACCGTGTAAAGCAAACCCACCATTTCCATCCAATATTTCTTGGTCTTTTGGTTTTGTTTTCCCCAATGAAAGCAGCATCGATTTCCAATGATCTAAGGTATTTAACTTGGTCTTCAACAATCGACAAAAGTGAAGGCGTAGTCTGATCGTCCGGGTGAGTGTATTCCTGAGAAGGACTGTTGTCGGTAGTAGTGACTGACGTTTTGACAACCTGTGCGGAAGTCATCATCAGAGTCAAGTGTTTGATTGTGAATGTCAAGTGAATGAGTTATTTTACACGAACTGGAATAAGAACATTCTACTGACAACAATCAATCACTTGACTCTGATGATGACTTCCGCACAGGTTGTCGAAACGTCAGTCACTACCACCGACAACAGTCGTTCTCAGGACTACACTCACCCGGACGATCAGACTACACCTTCACATGTTACCCCCGGGTTCAAGCCATTTACTGCAATCGACAAAAGGGGTGAAATGACAATGACCAAGGGACTAGAAGAGAATCCGTGGGCTTTTGAGCTCAAGAATTTGAACACTCTAGGCCGCAATTGAAAGATTAAACTCTTTCCAAACCCTATTGGCAACTGTCCGATGACATCTCTCCTTCCCACGATGTTCTCGATAATACGTTTCTGTTCAGACTTTAATTCGCTAACCGAAAATACAGCTAAGCTTTCTCTAAGCGATTGCTGGAAGTCGTCCACGAACTTAACGTTCTCTGCAACCTTGGACCATACTGTGAAAGACTTTGCTTCGAAGCGAAGGTTAGATTTTGGCGCGCACAGAAAGCTACGAAAACGTAAGCGCCAGTTGCTCAACATACCTGCATGGCCCGTGCGACAAAATAACTTCACGGGAATAGCATAGTTTCAGTAACAGCAAATTATACAAAAAATCTAGAAAAATTTCAGCTTTCATCTCGTTTAACGTTTAAAGCGACATATTAACGCCTGCAACCATTATGTTTTATACGAACCTCGCAAACTTTCAAACACGTTCTCTCGTGATACCTGCAAAAGTATTCAGTATAATTTCCGGTAAGAATTTTGCGGACAATCTGATCGATTTCTCTTACATTTGTCTGCTCGGTGAGACTGAAACTTTTGACCTCGAGCAGAGATCCGTCGCACGGCCCAAGCAAACATGGCGAGCAACTGAGCTTCTTGTCTATCTCCGAGTTAAAACATACGAAAGCACACTTCACTCTGATTGGGCAGAAAAACACAAAGATTTTCTGGCACCAATCAGATGCCAGAACGAATGCGATCGCTTGGAACTAATCTTGTAAGACAAGGTCCCCAGGGGCTCTTCCGCCGTAACGTGAAATCGACTCACTGCCCCTGGGTCTCCGAGGATGGGTAGCGAGAACAATAGACATTCTGCGTCACGTTACGGGCTGTATGAAAGGCAGCCAAGAAATCGCAAAGTTATGTTTCCATAAATGAAAACAAAAGAATTGGAGGTTTCCAAAGACAAAGACATTCCTCTCAAGTGGCCTTTTGCGTTGAACTCAAAAACGTTTCCCACGGCTTGAATTTACTTTAGCACCCTGGTTACCCTGTCAACTTTATTACATGGATAACCATACATGTTTTTTTTTTTCTTTTTTTTGTTCGGAAATTCGTGAAACTGCATGGACATTCAATGTCATTAACAGAGTCGAAATAAACGTTACCTCCTTGTCTCCATGTTCCAACTAGATTTACAATGTTCGGATGTCGTCCAGCTTGTTTCAACGTCTTTATCTCATTTAGCAACGCAACTTTCGCAAGAGTATTTGCATTACCTAAAACAATATAATAGACAATGGTGATGATTACCCATAAGTTAGTTATGTTGTTGTTACTATAATGCAAAAATAAAAACAAAAAAACTAAGCAAAGAATGTAAAAAGAGAGTCTGCTTTGTACCAAACCAGTCGTAATCGTCTTTCTTTGTTACATATATCATGATACACTTCGTTTTCCATAGATAATGCTGATTACAAATGGGTGACAAACGGTAGTCCCAAAAATATGTATACTCGCATTTTATTTGCGCATACCTTTCAACTTCCTAACTGCAACATCAGTTATGCTACCGTTCCTTCCACCATAGCGACATTTGTAAACGATTCCATACTCTCCTTTTCCAAGTACCTTATCGAGTACTTCGAGATTGCCTCGGTCTTGTTCGCTTTCTTCTAGCTTGACGAAGACAGATGTTTGCATTTGGGCGCTATCTCCGTCGTCATCATTCATCCTATTGTCTGGATACAAAATCCTGTTGACATCACAGTGACTACAGCCATCTTTGACATCTAGATGACCATTTCGTGAGATTAATAATTTCATCTGCATGGCCTTTTTTGTCAAATATGGGATTTCTGAAACGTTTATCTTCAACATTTGAGGGAGTGAGAGTCTTTTTTCCCTTGGACGATACTCTTGGTATCGAGGCAACATTCCCGTCGTCTTGTTTGTGTTTTTTTTTGTTCAGCGCATCAGTATTTTTCTTTTCAGCATCTACCAGCGGAGGCATAGCATTTGCCTCTGAAAGCACTCTTCCTTTCGTATTAATATTCGTATCTTTTGGCATTTCCCCAGCCAAATCTTTGTTGGATGCGCAGGCCATATAATTCTCATCCTCATCTGTGTTACCCTGTTATTGATACAGATAGGAGGTCAACATGTTTAATGAATGAATGAATAACTTTATTTAGACACGTGACATTGATGAGTCTACGAAAAATACTCGTTACAGAAATATACGTGTATCTACAATAGTTATAAGTATTTAAAAGCTATATATAATTATTGAAAAGGGTATTTAAAAAAGACTAATAATTACTACAAAAAGAAATTTACAACCATTTATACCATCAGCTACAATATAATCTAGTCAGAGTAAGAATCACAAGTCAATAATTTAACTTAACTTTCCCAAGTTGGGTAAGAACATTTTTAAGGTTGGGGGCCTCCCTAATATGCGAAGGGATTGGAATTGGAATTGGGATCCGTTACCTGTGCTAGATATTAGTGCCAATGCCTTTGCGATCGAAATTCCCACTCTGAGTTTTCTCTTTAAGTCTACTTAACAGCGATTATGGTTGGAAAAATTTTCTTTGTGACTGATCAAGGTAACTTTATCTCGCATAATTATGGCAAAAAATTGCGTTTTTTATCGTTTTCATAATTCCCCTATTCTGTTAGTCTCCCTCGCAGCCGTTTTTTTTGGATGTCACGCAACGTTCCCCCAAAAGAACGGCTGCTGACAACCGAACTACATTCCTTTCTCCGAATTGGCCAATCACAGCTCGGGTTCCATTTTCAGGAACCTTTTCGCGCCAGACTCACCTTTTGAGACTCGTCCCATCAGATATCGTTTTCTATCGCGATCCTTCTGTGGAAAACACAAGGCAAATGGCTGTGCTTGAAGGACCTTTTCGCAAAGCGTCGTCAAAGTTCAAAATTTTCGAGCTTAATGGTCACCAGAAGCTTGCAATTAAAAAATTTTTAGTCGAGAAAGAAAATGTTTTTGTTAAGTTGCCTACAGGATCCGGGAAATCGTTAATATATCAAGCACTCCCGCTCGTGTTTAACCATGTTACCGATGAAAGTGGTCATATTATTGTTATTGTTGTTGTGTTGTACCAACGTGCGGAAACACTCGATAATTCTGGTCAATTTCCTGTACCAGTGATAAGAAGCCACGAAAATAACTAATCGGGTTCGCTCCAGGTAGCAGCGGACTGGCAAATGAAGAAGTACGAGTAGTGTAGGAGACGTTGGCCGACCTAAATTGCAGTGTTCTCGAAGCTTCGCCCGGTTTGTTGAGGGCAAGCACGCACTTTTGTCCTCCTGATCTCCATCTGTAGGTCGAAGCAAACGTTTAGTACTTGGCCGAGATTGAAAGGCGTCTTATATTTCCTTTTGATTATTGATGTAATTTACTGTTTCTTATATATTCTGACTTTTATAATCTGTAGTAACCTCTTGAAATAGTGCGAATAAAGAGTTTCAGTTCAGTTTTTAGCTTCTTCTACTTTCTCAGTTGCTTGCTGAAACTTTAACAACCGCTCAAACAATCTAGCGTTCGTGACGTTGGCGTAGCAGATGACGTCTATGTTAAGAGTAGATTCTATAATTTCAACCAAATTGTGAGAAGTTTTCCCAAAAATATATACTCTATCTTTACCAGGGCACAACGATGAACATGTGAAACGTTTCGAGCTCTCATGACAAATTTCTTTAGTGTTTCTCCCGACATGATAGCTAGATCACCTGCCACATCCACATTTTCGCGTGAACCCTTACGTCATTCAGATTTTCTGGTATGTGATTGGTCTGTTCAATAGACCGCGAGCAAACCGCAAGGACAATGAGAAAGGAATGTAGTTCGGTTGTCAGCAGCCGTTCTTTTGGGGGAGCGTTGCGTGACATCCAAAAAACACGGCTGCGAGGGAGACTACTATTCTGTGGCACCTGCATTAAGCCATTCTCTGCGATTGACCTCTTAATACAGGTTGACTGTAGTAACGGGACGCTCTAATATTTATGCGACATCCACGCGACTGCGTGACAATTTTAAATTTCGTGATCATGTTTGTCACAAAATCCATCGTCTATTGCCTAACGTCCACCGTCTATCGTTTATCGTTTATTGTCTTCCATCTACCGTCTACCGTCTATCGTCTGGGTCTTTTAATAAAAAAGTATTACCTCTTCATTTCTCCTTGCGCGTCGATACAAAAATTTCATAATGCATCCGCACATGAATGTAATTATGGTACCACCAAACACACTAAGCACTATAATCTGGGGGACTGAATGTTGTCGTTCCTTTCTTGGCGAGGCTGTAGTTGGATAAGATTGTTAAAATAAAAAGAACCATTAAATACACTAAGATTAGAAAACCGTATGGCTCTGTCAAACGGCTGCATTCTTTTAGTGGAGCTGGTCGTTTTATCTCGTTTCGCGAGAAACTACGTACAACCTCATCATTGGATTTTTAAAAAATGAGGGCATATTTGATTACAGCTTTCATTTAATGGTTCAGTTGGAAAAAATGAGGGATTTCTTCAAATGATTATCGTGTAAGTTTTTATACTGAATTCTGCTACATAATTGCCCCTCTAGGAAAATGAATGCCGCGTTACAACATAGTATCCGGCAATATGCAACCTCACCTAAATGTCTAATCAACAGGAAAGCAGATTTCGACTCCATTTCCCCAGCGCTGCTCTTTGTAACACAATAATATTTGCCTTCATCTTCTTCCTTCACTTCTTTTATTGACAGTTGGCTCTGTAGGATGCTTTTGTCATCTAGTGGAATGCGAATTACTTTTGCCCTTGGGTTTGAGTTAACAGCGTGCGAATTATTCTTCTTGACCCATGTGATGTTTTGCTTGAGAAGACCAGCGGCAGAACAGTTAAAGGTTACATTGAAACCGACAAAAGTTGTTTGGTTCACTGGATCTTCAACAATCCTGAATRCTAAATGTTTAATGAACAGGAAAGCAGATTTCGATGCTATTCCCCCAGCGCTGCTCTTCGTAACACAATAATATTTGCCTTTATGTTCTTCCTTCACTTCTCTTATTGACAGCTGGTTCTGCAGGATGCCTTTGTCATCTAGTAGAATGCGAATTGCTTTTGCCCTTGGGTTTGAGTTAACAGCATGCGAATTATTGTTCTTGACCCATGTGATGTTTTCCTTGGAAAGACCAGCGTCAGACAGTTGAAGGTTACATTGAAACCAACAAAAGCAGTTTGGTTCTCTGGATCTTCAACAATCCTCGCCCTGTCCTATGAAAGTGAAAGTGAGAAAAATCTAATATTCGGGACGAGAAAAATAGGATGCGAAAGGAGTACATGAGACGAACGAAAATCCGAAGAGATGGTGAGTATTGATAAGATAATACTTTCCATGATTCGAGGAATTTTGAGAATTCGCACAGGTAAGCCATTCTAAAACACTTTCTACAATTGCTTTTTTAAAGCATCCTTTCACTGGCTTTAACGAAGGGCTGACGTACGAAATGTCAGCTTTTTAACTCTTTACGGTAAAGTAAAATGATAATAAAGTATTATCATTTGTGGTCACTTGTGATATGAATCGCGACATTTCGATTGCATACTGCTACCCTTCAGCAGACGATAAGGTCGACTGGTTTCGGGTCTTCTTATAAAAGGAGGATGCTCCGCTGTAATCGATCGGTATTCCACAGAATCAAAGAGGCTTTTCACATAAGACTTCTTCCTAACAACATCAACGGGGACAATGCAATAAAAATTCCCGAAGCGTGGATGCCCACAATCAAGAAACATAACAACAGGAGAGCCGTACGACAGAGGACTGCCGAGAGAACAACTCGATAACATCGGGGATCAAAACGCGTCAATCACATCTATGGAATACCAACCAATCCCAGCGGAGCATCCTGCATTGTAAGAAGAACCGAAAGCAGTCGCTCTTATCGCCTGATGAAGACTGGCAGTGTGCAGTCGAAACGTCGCGATTCATATTAGAAGTGACCACATCGTGAGACAAATGATAATACTTTATTATTATAGCATTCTTTCATGTAGTTCAACTTCATCGCCTTCCCATAAGAAATAGTCGTTCCATAATAAAACTTCATGTCTAGCTAAGAGGAAATATAGAGCAGATGTCTCACCTAAATCATTTGTGGACAAGAAAGCCGGGTTTGATGCCTTTTATCCTTTACTTTTACTTGCTAAGCAGTTATGCTTTCCATTATCTTCCCTCTTTACATCCTCTATAATCAGCTGGCTATGAATTTGCACGTCGTCGAGGTCAGTTTGACTGACATTAATCCGTGGGTTGGAACGAACAGCAAGTGAGTTATCGTTCTTTATCCATTTGATAGATGGCATGGGATGACCTTTGGCAGTGCAGTTAAAGGTTATGTTGAAACCCGCATCAACAGTTTGGTTCTTAGGATCCTCGACAATCTGTGGTGCCAGAGAAGCTGACACCGGCAAAATCAGATAATAGTGAATAATTTTGGAAGAAATGAGGCAAAATTTTAAAACCCGTTAAACAGTTTTGAAAAAGAAGGAAACAAGTAAATAGGGAAGGTAGGCAAGTAAGGTAAACACATCTTGAATAGTAAGCCCCACGTTTTTGCCATGTCCAATAAATTTTGCTCATGCCTCTATAATCTTTCTGTCTATGTTATCTCTACACTAGAAATTGCATACTTTTAGTGTTTTCTATGTAAATTTTATCAATATTAACCAACAAAGAGCATGTTAACTCCTCATGGATGGCAGCTGGACCATCAAAGGCAAATATCAATACGCAACAATTTTCAAGTGCAGTTTAGTGCGAAAACCACTCGTCGCCACGTTCTCCACTTAACTTAGGTATTACATTCATGATGAAATATCATTAAAAAGCTCTATTAGATGGCGGCGGGAGGGGGGGACAATAAACTGAAAACGTCTGACATGACGTTAGAAATCACCTAGGAAACTGTTGTTAACTTTTCAGTCTTATTACTGTTATAAATACGATATGCAAATATTTCCTTATAGCGAAGAGTGAATCAGAGTACAAACAGATGAAACATTTACGAACAGACAATTAGATAACCCACGGTTTTTGTGCGGATTTAACTATTAATTTCTACTCTTCAGGGCTAATTCTATTTCGAAAATAGTATTTCTTTCACCTCTCGTTACCACCGACTGGCCGAACTTTTCTTGTGGCCAGGTATTATGATGAAGTACCGGAGCTTCATGCAGGCACTGTATATGCTAGTTTACTTTACAATTCGCGAGTGTGTGCTCACCAAAAATAGCAATTTTCCTTGCCAAGAACTTGCTTCTAGAAGAAATTACTTTAAATGTATTGCATACCTTGCAGTTTTATTTCGATAGTATTTTACCTGCAATATCTGACATAATCATTCTCCGCCTCACAAGTGTAGTTGCCGAACTGTTCCAAAGTCAGCCTCAGCAGCATTAATCTGCAGCTTAGTTTTAGCACACTTGGTGTGCCCTGCAGGCATTTGGCTCCAACTGGTTCACCCTTAGGATCATACCACTGAATATACTTGGTCCATCTCCTGGGAAATAGTTGGTCGCCATTCCTTGGCCAAGCTATGCAAGTCAAGTTAATAGCTGCACTTATTGTTAAAGTGCGGTTTGGCAGACTTGTCGAGATATCTATTTCAGGTATCACTGGACGGGAAATATAAAAACAATTAAATGCGTTGTCCTCGAACTAGCTTAAAACAGTTATGATGATGATTCAATCGGTAACTCCATAACAGAAGCTTAATTTATGGGGTAAGGATGTAACTACCAATTTGCAAAAAAAAAATAAATAAATAAAAGATACAGTTGCTACTAACCTAACCCTAACCCTAAAACCCTAACCCCAACCCTAACCCTAACCCCCTAACCCTAACCCTAACCTATCTTAATATTACATCCCTTACTCACTTCCGCGGATAAAAGGTTGCTTGGAGCACTGGTAACAAGTAATAGCATGATAAAGTTGCTGATGTCACGGCCAAGCCAATGTGTGCTACACATTCTTGTCATTGGATGTACTTTGAGTTCCTCACAAAAAAGGTACCTAAGTGTAAAATCTTTTATGTTAAAAGGGCCGAATAAAAATGGTGTGAAGGGAAAGATAAGATGAGATGAGGTTGGAATTGATGGCAATCTAAGATACTAAACTTATTAAGGTATAAACGTTTGGAATAATTCCATGCATTTTCTTCCAAAGTTGCAAAAATTGCCCTACTCATGGAGCAACGAACTAAGGGAATTTCTGCAATTTCTGAAAGTTAAATATCTTTAATGTTTTCTCCATGGTGGTAGTTTTCGTATGTCTGCCATGGCATAAGTTAAACTGTCTTTTTAAAATAAAAGTGGGGCAGAAAGTGATGTAAGCCTTTCGCTTCTTCTACAGAATAATTTTACCTAGGCAAATGGTAAAGTCACAATCAAACGTCCTCTGGAAAATAAGCCGAAGTGCAAAATTATAGGTGAGGAAGAAGGAAAAACTCATATCTTGAGTTGTTACCAGAAAACCAATTCACATGAAACATACAAAATGTTAATGTCTGAGTAAAGCCTCTTGAAAAAAGCAGGGACTGAAGGAAAAAATATTAAAGCAAGAGGAAAGACTCAACCTCTCACCTTGTTGTATTTTTATTTATTGTATTGCTGTTGTTTTCTATTATTATTATTTTTATTATTATAATTATTATTGATAAGTGTTAACAAAGAAATTTCCCACGGGATAATTTACTTGGGTCTTGCAAAACCTCAAGATATTTTTCATTTGAAGAAATGTTTAGTTTCGCACTGATCACTCAAATATCAAAGATCAAAGCCTTGGACATGCCACGGTGAGTTCGCGTCTGGGTGCTGGATTATCTGTCAGACAGGAAACAACGTGTCAGGTTGTCATCAGACTGCAGGTCAGAGTGGGGCTCAGTCCCCGCAGGGGTACCACAGGGGACCAAGCTTGGTCCCTGGTTGTTCTTCTTAATGATCAACGATCTTGAAGTCGACGCGCTCACTTGGAAGTATGTAGACGACACAACTATCGCCCAAACGATACCGCGAGGTTTGACCAGTGATGTACAAAGCGCAGTTTCCGCTGTTGAGGCGTGGTCGATCGAAAATAGGATGGAACTGAACGCGGATAAATGCAAGGAGATGCGCATTGACTTTAAAAGGAACACTCACAATTTTCCACTAATTGTGATTAATGGCAAGGAACTATCAGTATCAAACAGTGTAAAAATCCTAGGAGTCACTATTAGCTCAGATTTAAAATGGAACGAACATATGTCAGAGTGCATTAAGAAAGCGAACAAGCGCCTTTACTTTATTGTTCTTCTAAAGCGCGCAAACGTTCCACTGAGCGACATTATAAATTTTTATTGCACCGTAATAAGATCTGTTTTAGAGTACTGTACGCCAGTCTTCCATCACGTGCTCCCACAGTTTCTTAGTGACGACACTGAACGAGTGCAAAAGAGAGCGCTCTCCATCATTTGTCCTTATGCGTCATATTTCAAATGTTTGGCCAGGTTCGACTTAGTAACCTTGCACGCGAGAGGCGTGGCTCTGTGTAGCAAGCTTTTTGAGTCTCTCACGTCATACCCGGATCACAAACTCGTGCCTGTCTTACCTCCTAAGAGAGAACACAGATATAATCTAAGACACTCCAGGGCTTATGCCATGCCCCGTACACATGCAAATCGTTTTAAGAACACTTTTATTCCAAGTATGTGTACATAAAAATTTTGTTTTTTAGACTAGTTTGTACATATTCATATATAGAGAGGTTTTCGCAGTTGAAGTTTTATTATAATTTCAATCGTATTTATTCCTAGTTCTAAGTAATTGTAACGCAATTCAGTCTACGGACTGCCATGTTTGATATTCTAATAAACTGTCTATCATCATCTATCTATCATTTCAGAGTAAGAGACAATTTTGGTGAGCTGTTGCGCGAAGGAAGCAATTGACAACTTATAACAGCGCGGATAACAAAAACATAATAATAAAAGTCATGAAAGGAAAAGATTATTCAACCCACCTTAAGTCTTCCGCTTTTCAGAGCAGACAGGAAAAACAAAATGTGATTCTATGCAACTTTCTAACTTAACAATAAATTTGAAGGAAACAGATGTTCTTTAGTGCAGACGTCACATCGTAGACCACTTAGGTCTCCATTGCCGGGCATTAAAAATGTAAAAGTTTACGTATTTAAATGGTACTGAAGGTTTGGCTTGATAAAAATCTCCGTGGTCGCAAATACAACCTGTTCTTCGAAATAAGTTTAAGGAAATGAGTCGAAACTAACATCATCTGGAAATAATTGTATGGCTGTATGAATATTATGTCATAAAAATGTGAATATCGTTATTTTTTAATTTCAAAATACATTTTCCCTCATATTACAGCACTTGATTAAACACCACTTTGAAAGATTACCAAATAAGGGAAAACATTTTTCGATCTTATCGAGCTCACTCACGTGAAATTGATTGCTTTCACTAAGCCAAAATCCGATAGCACTAAACATTAAACCAACTTAGTAAATGTTTACATTTTTTCATTAGCATTTTGAGTGGGAACTGAACCATAATTCTTATTTTCAGAGTCAAGAAAGCAATTTATAAAAATCAGTTAGTGTAGTTATTTGGCTTTTTACTAAGAAACGTGATATACATTCTAATAAGAAATTAAAAAACTTTTTGTGATTCAGAAATTGCTGTTATTATCTTAATGTGCGTCATAAGGCATTTACGCTAACCTGAATCTTCAATTATTCCTTTCCTCTAAGCGCAAGTGGTTATTGCAGATGAATAAATATGGTTTTCAGAATTTAATAAGCAACGGAATGGAAAGATTTATCTTTGTAAGTTCAAAAATTATCTTAAGACCAAAATAGTAATGATCGAAAAGACTGCTTGAAAAAGAACTGGTTGCAGACTCTACTGAAGAGCCAAGCTATTTGGTGGGAATCCTACGAATCGTCGTCGCCAAAGCACATTGCGCCTCATAAAGTATTTAAATTAGCCAGACTTATGAATTATTCTGTTTTTTAATTGCAAATTGTAATATGAGCACAGATGAGTACAGACGGTTTGCGAAATCTATTGAGAGGCGTAGATTCTACGGAAGAGTCAAGCTATTTTGGCGGGAACTTCGCACGTTATCACCCAGCAGTAAGTTTTCAACATTCGGGTTCTTCACCTGGCAGACATGCACTGAAAGCAGACAAAATGAAGAAGGTTATGAGTGTTTTTTCCTAACCAAACTTTCCTTTATGTCGGTGCTACTGCCCTACAAGGAAGAAATCTTAATCATTTATTCAACGATTTGACGAGAACAGAAACGAACTTCAAGATGGCGGCCTTTTAATGTTTGCTTATATTTATTCATGGACTCGATCTCAATAACGATGGAGTTGAAATAGACAATGAATAATAATGATGATAAACTTTCTGTCTTGATAAAAAAAAATTAATTTGAAATAAACGTCTGGGATCAGCTGCTTCAACGCTGAAAACACTTTCAATCGCCTTCGGGGTGGGGGCGACGATTCAGTTTAGTCTTGATTTTGCTATCCATTTAAACGTATTTACACAATGAACATAGTGTAATAAACCACATATCATCCTTGCAAACCCAATTTAATCTCACATATCTTGGCTCGGTCTAGATTATCAGGGAAATTTTTCAACGTTAATTGGAAAAAAAAAGCATCTGCTCGCTTAACTGACTGCCTCCCAAATCAAGGGATGATATACCAAATTTCTACGCGTATCGGTCGAGAAAAAGACTCTACTGACAACCCTTTTACTAAAGTAATATGAACGCAACAACAGAATAAATTTTTCTAAAAATATTTTGAGATTACTTGCAAAGTTAGCTGAAATACATCTGCAGGCTGGAAATTTCTCATCTCTACTTGTTAAAGAGCGGCGAGATATCTTTTCGACTTGAACTGGATAAGGCCTACTCTGGGACCTTAAGTTGCCTTAAGTTGCCTTAAGTTGCCTTATGTTGCCTTAAGTTGCCTTAAGTTGCCTTAAGTTGCCTTAAGTTGCCTTAAGTTGCCTTAAGTTGCCTTAAGTCGCTATTAGTTACACAACATTATAAGGGTTTATAATTATGATTCATAATTTACCAATTTATATAGCGCCTATTTACATGTGCTGATCAATAGCGTTTATTAGATATTAATGTTAAGGCTGAGATCGGACGTCAGCATATCAGGCGCCCAGGCCTCTGGCAGCTGCTTCAGTCCATGTAACAATCTCACCTTCCCACCCATCCCCCAAATACCCACCCATCCCACCTCAGGGTAGGACATCCACCACCCAGTAATCTCGTGCATGGGAAATTAACATCTCCTACCCCTAACCCTCCAGGAGACGGGGTCTACAGTTTATTCATCCTTATCCGAGGAGACTAGAATATCTTTCCATTTCTTGATATTATAGAAAGGTAGCAAATTTTCCTCGGTTATTTTAAGATCATGAGTATTGGTCCGGCCAGGGATTGAACCCTCGACCTCCCGCACATCTCAATCCGGTGCTCTAACCAACTGAGCTAACCGGGAAGAGGGTTCCACCCTAATCCCAATTGACCCCATTCACTACAGTCTAATCATAAGGATCAGAAAAGGAGGCATGGTGGCTGAATGGTTAGTGCAGTGGACTTGACATTAGTCTAGTTTTGGTGTCTAGTGTTGGAGCATTTCATTATATTCTTGGGAAAGATACTGTAAGTTCTAAGTGCCTTACCTTTTCCAGGTGTAAATATGGGTACTGGTTGATAGGAGGGAGGAAACCCTGCAACGGACTATGAGTTTAATTATTGTTATTGTGAAGGGGGCAATGGCTTCCATATACATAGAAACCCCATGTGAAAATAGTCATGCACCTGTCTAGCCCTTATGCTGGCATGGGTAACTCCTATATGTAGACAATTCTGATGTAGGAAATATGAAAATGTATACTCTTCCATCTTCTCACTAAAACAGCTATTGGCAAGAGCTCCATATAAACCCATACATTAATTATGCACATAGTGTTGCAAAGAAACCTCTATATTTAGTCTTAATGAAATGAATGCATAATTAAGGTTTGTGGTTATGGAACTCTTTCCACAGCTATCTGTTTCAACAAAATTTCTGTCTTGTATTTAATGATGAGAAAGTTGATAAAAAGTTGATTTACCTGTGTCGGGAGGCTTTGAAGAACAAATCGTAAAGAACTTCGGACCCAGGTCCATTACTAACAGTTCTTCATTCTTCCACAACAACAGGAATGGCAGAAATTATAACCTTCTCAAGATGTAAATTTTGAAAAATAAAGGATAAGTGTTCCTGAAACTTCATATTTCATCATGCAAGGAATTTTTCATCATACTTTGCTGTTTTAGTTTTTGTTTTTCCTTTAATGAATGAGGACTGTATTCATAGGATATTTGATTTAAAAAACATGATTATTTCTTTCTTAAAATTAGTTTTTCCTCATAAACCATCTTTTTATCTCAGGGATTTAATTAAAATAAGCGCAAATCAAAATGAGAAATCTAATTCGCTAAAACAACAATGTTCCGACATGTTGATGCTAAGGAAAATTGTCCAGATTGTTACAGAGATGAGATTGCTTCATTAAGGATAGCTTTAGAAAAAGAGCTTTGATTTATAAAATGATTTTTTCAGAGTTTTTAAGTACAGATAATGAGGGGAATATCTCTGGTTAATGACCATGATGACTAAACCAAAAATTGCTATTATCTATCGCATATTTTATAAACCTAATTAACCTCTTTGCCTCGGGATATCGTCGTCAAATATACCTTCTGGCCCGATTGCAATCAACTAATACATGTTGGAAAACGTTATATCATTTATTCTCATCATATATGCAAAGAAAACTTTATGACAGGAATGAAAAGAAAACTTAGGGCTATGTACAAGACATTGCATGCTCACTTAAGGTTAATTTTTTATCTAATTTACAACTTCTACACTTCTACACTTTCACTAGTTTTCTCATTGCCTTCTTGTAGAGATGCAATATTTTTGTTCTTTCTTCTATTTCAAGTCTTCTTTTTCTTCTTTTCTGGTTCTGGGGGCATAGTAAGAATAAATTGTTGTGGTGAGTTGTTTGTAGGGTTTTCATTGCTATTGGTTATCTGGAAGTGGAGGTTCCCACTTTGTAATTTTTTTAGCAAATTAGAAAACTGGAGAAATTCAGTAGCCATGAAACTTAATAAATTAAATTGTGTTTGTCAAATCGTACCCTCACTTAAAGTCTTGTTCTCCTCAATCTTATCTCTGTGCTCTCCCATGTCCTTGTCATCTTTAAAGGTAAAGAAAAAGACCTTGATTTTTTTTAATTTTGCAGTTCATAGGCAAATTTGTATTATGTATATGAGCCTAGAAACATATAACTTTATAGAGGATTTCTTGTTACTTTATTTCAAGTTTGAAATAATTAGCCATTATGCTGGAAAGTGAATGGGGACTTTCAAGAGTCATTTATCACATGCAAGTTTACCTCGCCACTGCTGTTTGTACTATCTGCGTGCAATACTCCCTCTTCTGTGAAAAGGATGTTCTACGTACCAGGAATGGTGGTATTGATGGATCCCTCTTTTGTTTGAGAAATTATCAATGGAAACTTCTGTAAAGAAAAATTTCTACCTACCAGGAATGGTGGAATCAAGGGATTCATCGGGATCAAAATTCTCATAGAAAGACACCTGTAATCAACCAGAGTTTTGAATGTTAACCACAACTGATACAAAATTAATATGATCAATGGGAAAAAAAAAGGAAGCAAAGGATCCTTGTGTGATTTTTCGCACCTCATCATCTTTTCCAAAGATTTCATTTGCTTCATCTTGTTTCTGTGACATTAACCAGTTCTTCTAATTTATTTGTTACTACATGGCTCTTTCAAGATCCTTTTTACATGTTACTTACCCTTGTTATCAAGCACAGCTTTTCTGATTGGAGGAGATTGTTGCTGTGTAGCTTTGCATCAGATAAAAAACCAGATCCAACTTGATGCAGTGTAAAGTACTCTTTTGAGGCAAAGTCAATTTAAGATGACAGGGGTGGGTAAAAGGAAGATGAACCACCCTTAACATTAAAAAAAGCATTCTGCATGTAAGAGAGAGGGCTGACAACTTTGCATTTGGTATTCTGGTAATTTTTACATGGAGGAAAGGCGGGGATGTTACTTTAAAAATTAAATGTGAGACAAAAATCATTTACACCTACTACTTCTATTCATGCACATGAGCTTCATTGTTACACAGCACACATCCGTCACTTGTCCTTAAACATTTGTACTAGGAAATAAAGGAGGAAAAACAAGTGGGAGTATGTCTTTCTCATGAACAGAAAGGCATACTCCCACTATAACAAACCCTATTTGAGAAGTGTTGGTGAAAATGAATTTTTACTATAGCAATACAAAAATACTTCATATATTTAGGTTTAAAACTAACACTTAAAATAAATCAATTTTCTTCCTTTGCACGTTACTCAGATAAGTAGAGAAAAATAGGATTGAGACATTTCTACGTTCTCTAAGTCTATCATCCAATCAAACTTACTCTCGTTGAGCCAGCCAGACTTATTCCCAATGAGCCAACCAGACTTGTTCTCAGCGAACCAACTAGACTTATTCTCAGCAAGCCAACCAGACCTATCCTCAGCGAGCCAACCAGAATTATTCTCAGCGAGCGAACCAGACCTTTTCTCAGCGAGCCAACCAGATCCATTCTCAGCGAGCCAATCAGACCTGTTCTCAGCGAGTCAACCAAACTTATTCTCAGCGAGCCAACTAGACCCCTATTCTCAGCGAGTCAACCAGACTTATTCTCAGTGAGCCAGACTTACAAAGTCCAGTATACTCAGCGAGTCAAAGCCCATTATCCTCAGCGAGTCAAAGTCCGATATCCTCAGCAAGTCAAAGCCCAGTATCCTCTGCGAGTCAGAGTCTGGTAAATTCCTCCGCGAGTCAAAGACCAGTATCCTCAGCAGGTCAAAGTCCAGTATCCTCAACGAGTCAAAGCCCAGTATCCTCAGCAAATCAAAGTCCAGTATCCTCAGCGAGTCAAAGACTAGTATTCTCAGCGAATCAAAACCCAGTATCCTCAGCAAGTCTAAGTTCAGCATTCTCAGCAAGTCAAAGCCTGGTGTCCTCAGCAAGTCCAAGACCAGTATCCTTAGCGAGTCAAAGAGCAAGCATCTTCAGCGAGTCAAAGCCTAGAATCCTCTGCAAGTGATAGCCTTAGATTTGCAGCAAATTTAATTCCAATACACCCTATGAGTCTTACTATCATGAGCAAGTTGAATTCTGGACACAAATTACTGAACAAACATACTAACCTTTGCAATCAAGCTCCAGGGGAATTGTCTTAATCACTGCAAAAGAACAAATATGTTAGCCAAATCACTGTTACCAATTAAACAGGAAAAAATCTATACGAGAGTGAAAAGGAACCTTTGAGTGCTGTACAATTTTTTAAGTATCACCCTGAACTTTAGTCAAGTGGAAACTATTTCAAGAAGTGATTCTGTCTGCTTTACTTGCCTTTCATACCTCATAGCTGTTGTATAACCTTCATTCCAATGTTTCACATACCCTGAGATAGCCATATCATGATAAATAGTCTTCCAATTTAAAAATGTATAAATTAATTAGTAACAGATTTCCACCAAAGCTTGTGATTAAATTCCACTATCTAATTGCTTTGGCACCCATTGAATAGGTGAATTACCTGGTGTTAGCAAGTAATGCATTTTTTATTTAGCCAAGCCATCTCCTAACTCTCCAAGGCTGGTGTGCTTAATTGAAAATCCTTTCACACAAACCTAGTTTTCAAGCTCTTTTCCTTAATTTTTAGTGTAATAGAAAAATCCTTAATAACTTGGTTAATTTGCAATATGGTTTTATTGTAAGTCTCAAAAAGTTCTGTGCCTTTTTTCCTGAGTGAATAAATACAAAATGGGAAACACAGAAACATATCAAGGCCACCTGGCTCTTTTTAAAAATCATCATCCTGCATGAGATAAATGAATGAAAATCCAACAGAATCATAACCACCATGCACTGTGGCTAATGTGGCATTACATTTCAATGTTTCTTATTTCCTTTTACTTCATCTAGTAATTTGTCTTTCACAGCATAAAATTCAGGTTCTTTGACCAGACCTTTTTCAAATGAGTTTTCAATAACAATTTTCTAACTAGAACTTTTCATAAGCTGAATTCCTCATCCAATTAGGTCTAACAAATTGATTAAGTTCAGTGGTTGAGATTCTGAATTTGCATCCATTGTTTTTGTATAAGGACAAAAAGAATTCTTGGACATCAAAATAAATTAAAATAATTTATACACAATATTTGGTACATGTAAAGGTCAAATTTTGAAATAAGGTAGCTTCGCCGTTGAACTGTATACGTAGATCACTGTACTTAATTCTTGGTTTGAAAAAATTAAATGTCACCCTTACATACTATATCGAGAACAATGGGTATTGATAGTTGCTTGGTCACGCCCGCATTTACTTATCGACATTCTTTTTTCGGAACGAACGGACATGATAGATTTTAAACTCGACCTTTTGATGCACTTGGTTAGATTCGCATCTCCGTGTCCCAGAAAAGTTCTGCGTTGAAACTAGGCCAGTCCCAAATCAAAGTAAATTAAAACCGTATTCTTGTTTACAAGCGAACACATGCCAGTTCTGGTCAGATCGTGGATCATCTTACTTTCGGAACGTAGCGATACTGATTTCACAGGGAATTTTCTACGGAAAACTTTCCCAAATCCTTATTGGAGCTGCGTTCGATTTTGATCCATCTGAAGGCTCGTGTAATAATACAACGCCGTGGCGAAATGAATTCAAACACGGAATTATTTCGCTAAACTCCTTTGGCTATTGGAGGGTAATCAAAACCTTTGCTAGGCATGTATGATATTGTAATAGGGCTACGTGGCACTAGCTTACCTGTAACATAAGTTGAACTGTGAACTTGTACAATTTAGCTGAATTTAGACACGTACTTACCTAGCTCTCGACTCTTCCATTGTGCACAACGTAGCTACCGGTATCATTTGAAAAGCATAGATGTATCATCATGTCACAGACATGGATTGTTTACGCGATGTATTCCATTCCATTCGCCTTATTTTATAAGCAACTTCCAAAATGATTGCTATTCTCGGCAAACGCGCACCATTATGGCTGTAGGGGGCCTCTGGTTTCCTTTCAAGGCTGTCATATCAAGTTGGCACACGCTGTGCTTGTTAAAACTTAAAAGGAAAGATACATCGAAGAGAAAAAAATATATGGCTTAAGGCGTGCACGAAGCCCGTTAATCAAAGATGTATTACGACCTTGATGGCAAGGACTCAAGAAGCGGTTTGAGTAGTTTTAAATTGTGTAATATTCCCGCGAAGTTTGTGGAAAAGTTTTGTTTATTATCAAAGTTTGACTGTTGTTAACGTTTAAAGACAATGCCTCTATATTTTCTATTAACCTCAAGGACCTTTTCATGGGACAGTACAATCTCGAACCCAATGTCATCTTGGCTTCTTCTCAGCGGTATAGTCGCTAAAAAATGACCTCAGGGGGGATGGATTAATTCAATTTTTTTATTTGTTGATAGAAAAAACGATGGACTCCACACAGAAAGTGTGATTTTCAGAAGGAATCGATCGATGTTTTAACTATTGTTGTTGTTGTTGTTGTTTTTTTTTTGCATGGAAACTTTCAATTGTAAACTGCCATTCGAGGCGTGGAAAACATCCAACCAAAGCCGCTGTATGCTGCAATGGCGGGAACCTGTTTTTCATGAAACGATGGATTGCTGTTGTCCCTGCCAAAGACGTACGAGTAGATAGAAGTCATTTCATTAAGTTGTTTGGAGTAAAGTTGAAAAGAAGGCATTGTAGAGGCCGTGCAAGCGAGATGATATGTAACTGTAGAAAAGTACGATATCAGAATAGCATAAAATAAAAAATTAAAAAAAAATTGTCGGGCATGCTTGCTACAATCTTGTATTCAGTATCAAAGAAGAAATCGAGAAGTTCTCCTTAACTGTAATGAAGACCGCGAAGAAAGGGTTCTGTATTTGAAAACGCAGAACTGAGGTCTGCCGCCATTCAAAGCCCCTCTCAGGCCACAGTTTCACTATCTGCTTTGCCGCAAGTAAACCGCTCTGAAAATCCATTATACCTACGTCTAGGGTACTCCGAGAAGACACCTCAGATGTTAACCCAGAAGTTTTCCTTTCATATTTATATATGAATCTTAGCTTGCGATACATGAAATTGTCGGAGGATTAGGAGTACTACATGTTTACACCCTAGGTCACCTCTAAGAAAAAGAGGTGTTGAACGTGTTAAAATAAGACCGCTAAAAGGAATAAGAAATAATCAACTGGCTTATTATAATATTTACTGAATGGCTTATGGCAATGTTATTTCCATTCATTTCAACGTTTAAATAAGTTAAAAAATACCTATAAGTAAAATTCTTGCAAGAAGTCAATTTGTCTTTTAGCAATATTACTACATTTACAGCTTGTGTTGTGATTAAATTTTTTTTACAAGCACATTATACTTGTGTGTCATTCAAAATTCCATGTCAAAATTTTTGTCCAATTTACTATGATCAAAAACATTCTACAGAGTTTCATTCAAAGTGAAAATATTTACCAATATTAAGAAAGTTACATTCTATTTTATATTTAGTTGACATAACATGCAAATACTAAATTTAAAAAAAGGATGATGTATTTAAGCTATTCCAGCTGCAACAGTAAAGACTATTATGTTGCTACCTTGTGTCAAATCATGTGTCAGATGACAGTTTTTAGAGGAGATTTATGAACAGTGCAGAGGCCTGGAACAGCTGGCGTCTATGTCACACAGGTAACAATGAATAGTACCACTTTACTCTTCTTCCCTTGAAGTATGGTATGTTTTCCTTGAAGGTTTCTCTTAGATCTGGCATGAGTACTAAGTAGATCACTTCTGGGTATGGTAGAGGCCTTACGAAACTGGTCATCCATTAATTTGGAAGGGTAACCCTGAGTAACCAGATAACCCTTGTATTCGGTTATTCTTGGACAAGAAAAGCTTGTTCGGAGCAATTTCTTTGTAACCTCGTCGCCACACTGTAAGGAATAGCTTTGAAAACGTGTTTAGGATTAGCACTTGATGGTGGGAGATACAGGTGACTATCAGTTGACTATCAGTACCAAACGAAGAGCTATTATGATACTTGAAAGAATCATAGACAGTTTCTTCCGCTAACAATAACGACAAAAACAATAATATTAACAATAATAATGATGATAATAATAATAATAATAATAATAATAATGCCAACTGAAACACCCAAATGTGCGAACATCTTTTATCCTGGAGGTGCGCAACAGCTTCGAGGCTCTTGTGGAACTAGGCCGAAAGAAGGAAATTAACGATGAAGACGTAAATATCGAATGAGAACTTGGAGAAAATTGTCACTGCTTACAACAATAGCAGCAAGGCATGTTTAGGCTGCAGGCAGCGGAGGCCGAAGGAATGGATGTCATCTGATACCTGGAAAGCAATTGAGAATAGACGGATATTAAAGAAGAAAGTTATGGATTCGAAATCCCAACGGCTTAAAGAAAGGCATCAAGAGATATATCGGACAGTGAACTAGGAGGTGAAATGCCGAGAAAGACCAGATAAAGTACATGGAGAACCCTGCATCCCAGGGGGAAGAGGCAGCTAGGCGCAATGAACAAGGAACAGTATATAAGATCACCAAGAGAGCATATGGCACTCCACAACGCACTGTTAACATCATCAAATGTTTGTACTCAAATTTCACATGTTGCATCGGTCAGGGGGATCTAAGTTTTGAAGTTAAAACTGGTGTACGGTAGGGATGTGTCATGTCGTCCATGCTATTAAATATTGCTATCGACTGGGTCCTTTGTCGAATAATGGAAGATCAGCGAGGAAGCATAAGATGGACCCCTTTTACTACGCTCAAAGACCTCAAATTCGCAGACGATTTAGTCCTATTGTCCCACACTCGACAGCAGATTCAGGAGAAGACACACCGGCTAAGCATGTTCAGCAACCAGGTCGGCTTGAGAATTAGCCCGAAGAAGACGGAGGCCATGTGTGTTAATGTCCCTTCCCCAACAAAGATCAGGGTAAGAGGACAGAATATTCCATACACCAACAAGTTCACATACCTCGGAAGTGCGCTCTGCCAAGATGGAAGTACTAGTGTAGATATACAAAGCAGATTGAACAAAGCAAGATATGCTTTTATAAGCCTAAGATCAGTGTGGAGGTCAGCAAGCTACAGCACAAAGACGAAGCTTAGAGTCTATCAGAGCTGCGTATTGTCAACTCTCCTTTACGGCTCGGAATGCTGGTGAATGACAGAACAAGATCTCTCAGGACCAGCATCCTTCCACACAGCTAGCGTCAGGAAGATTCTGAAAATTATCTGGCCCCAGAAAATATCAAACGACCAGCTACTGAGGCAAACCAAGCGGGAGGATATTCGTACACTTGTCACCAGGAGAAGATGGAGGTGGATTGAACATGTGATGCGGATGCCCAGTAACAACATAGCCAGAATTGCAATGCGTTGGACACCTGAAGACAAACGAAGCACTGAACGACCGAAAACAACTTGGCACAGGGCTGTAGAGAAGGGACTAAGGGAGCTCAGTTACAGCTGGAGCACCATTAAAAAACTGGCTAAAGATAGGCAGGGTTGGAAGGATCTCGCTGCTTCCCTATGTACCACACAGGCATGATGGGCTGTAAGTAAGTAATAATGGTAATAATGAAAATAATAATAACAATAATAACGAAAATGACGATAACAATAATAAATTATGATAACAATTGATTACAATGATGATACAGATATTACCATCCACGATTACAAGGACAAGGATGACGGTGACGATTATGAAACTCGAGTTAGTCTCTGCTTCATATCGAGCGACTCCTTAAGCATCATTCGTGCTCCTCAAACGTTCCAATTGCTTCATATCTCCATGAATCCTGAAATAGAGTTGCGTCTTAAGAGAAGCCGCCAGAATATTTCGAGAATCGAAAATCAGTGAAGAAAACTCTAATTTTTTTTTTATTTTACCAAAACATCCCTTTCTGTGAACTACCTTTGAAAAAATATTTTAAAGTTTCAGCGATTTTTTTCCGGCTGAAATTTAAAAAAGTTTGAAAATTCGCCAAAATAGCCGTTTTCGACTTGCCTAGACGGTCAAATCGTCACGCAACTTTAGAAAGATGTTGGTAGCGCTAAACAACTCCATTCACCAACAAACGTTGCACATTAATTGCAATATAACTGCTCAATAAAAGCACATAACAAGTTTCTTGTAATTCTCTTTGGTATGGGTTTTATCGCCGTTTTTATGAAGGTGTATTTTGCACGTCCTTTTGGGAGACAAAATGAAGGCTAACTTTGACCGGTTTAAACGACACCTGGTACCTAAAA